TGAAAACGTCTTTGGTCCCTTTCTCCTAGAAGACTTTTGGGAATCCAAACTGCAGAAAATACACATTATAGCTCAGTTTGGAACATCAGAGTAAATGAAATTCATTCCGAGTCTAACATCCCCCAATTTGAGGATCAACTCTAATCATGGCTTTTTTCTGTTTGTTGTTTGGTTTTTGACCTTGTGAACATGTTTTCTAAACATTAAAACAATATAATAAAATATATGAAATAAATAAAATAATTTGATCTGCATTTAGTGTGTTCTGAAAGATATGAAAATGTCCAGGGAGAAGACTCTGGCATTGTCCTTGGAGGTCAGAGATGGTCAGCCAGCGGGTGATAGGTTCACCCTGGACACTGGTAGGTTTGGTACATAGCTGCTCTGTTATTACCTACAACTCAGCCTGTGCTGACACTACACACAGAGGAGGAGAGAACCGGTCTGATGCTGCCTGACTCTGCTCTACTCCTGAGGACCAGTCATGGAGGAGGAGGAGGCCCAGCACCTCCCAGCACCCTGCACCTACACTCATCAACTGAGACCAACTAACTGCCTGTCAGTGTGCTGAGATCTTCCTAGAAACAGGTGAGATCCCAACCAACCTGCACTCTCTGCTCTGGGACACACATTCCCCCATCCTAGTTGTTCTTCTGGCTGTCTTCTAATTACATTTTTTTTTGCTCTTTACTCCTTGACTTTCCATCAAATACAAGTTAAACATTTTTTCTAGAACAGAAATTCTGTAAATTGCATCCATACACATGTAGACGCGTCTCCATATCTGTGCATCTGTACAATCAGATATTTTTGGAACTGAAGGTAGCCTATGGGGTAGCCTTCTTCAGTTTCTATAAACTCTTGAATCGTTTACTTACAATGCTGGAGAATAGTTTAAAAAAAAACCCCAGTAGTATAAATTTCAGTAGTTACAATTTGTAGTAGTTGTACCAATAATATTATTAATACCAATCAAGATAAATGTTGTTTTATTATTTGTAACAATGTGGTTTTGTTTGTAATATTTGTAAAACTTCTAGAAATGTTACTGGTATGTACTGTATGTTTTATTGACTGTATACTGTTTAACTCTCTTTTTAGTAGCAGTAATGACAATATAATCAGTGATAGTAGCTATAGCAATATTATTACAGTATGAGTCCAGACAAGTTGTTTTGTGGTAGATTGGGAAACAATTGGAACTGTTGTGGAATTGTAAAGCCTCATGCACACAGCACATTTTAACCACTTCAAGTCGGAACACTTTCACCCCCTTCCTGTCCAGGCCAATTTTCAGCTTTCAGCGCTATTACACTTTGAATGGCAATTGCGCAGTCATGCAACACTGTACCCATATGAATGTTTTAGCTTTTTTTGAGACAGATAAAACTTTATTTTGGTGGGATTTATTCACCACTTGGATTTTTATTTTTTTGCTATATAAATGAAAAAGTCCAAACATTTTGAAAAAAAAGTTTTTCTTTTGCAAATAAATAATCTTTCTTCATAAATCTTGGCCAAAATTTATTCAGATATCTTTTTAGTAAAAAAAAAAAATAACCCAAATTAGTTTATAACCAAAAATTATAATTTTTCAAAACATTTTTTGACATTTTTATTTTTTTTATTATTATTTATGTGTTTTTTAGACATACTGTCACCCTAGCAGTACAGTGTCACCATAGTGACACTGTACTGCTTGTGGGGGGTGATGATTTTTTTTTTATTATGTTACACTGATTGCTTTTACAACCATAAAGGCTGTAAAAGCAATAATTTCTCCTTCTCTCTGGCTGCATTCTTGCAGCCATTGAGAAATACTGTGAGAGCTGTGATTGGTCACAGCTTGTCACATGGTACAAGGCTGTTGCGAATAGCCTTGTACCATGTGACCTCTGTGATCATTCACAGATTTCAGGCGTAGTAAGCAATGTCAGAAGTGGCATCTTGCTTACTGCTATTCATGTGATTGCTGATTGGCCAACCAGTGATCACATGATCAGGACCTCACACAGAGGTCCCATATACCGGATCGCAGTGCAGCGCGCTCCCAGGGAGCGCACACAGGCAGGGAAGCGGGAGGGCATTTATAAACAGACACCCACTCCTGCATAGTTTCCGTCCAGCTCTTATATACATGGACCGGACGGGAAGTGGTTAAAAAAACGCTCCTCCTCTTGGCAGGGTTTTGCCAAAAAAAAAAAGCCTGACGCTTGTCAAAGTGGTTAACGCTTTTAAAAGCGTTTATGTGCGTTTATAAGCATCAGGTGCTTGGGTGTTAATTCATTTCATTGGTCAGAATAATAATTTATTCTGGCCATTGAAATGAATTATTATTGCTCAAACGCTAAACGCGCTTAGCATTAATACGTGTTTACACACGTCAAGCGTTTTTTTCTGCCAAAACGCTGCTGCTCCTGGGCACACTGGCCCTGGGTTTTTTTTTTTCCTGCTGGTAAATGCTACTGCTATTAAAAACTCCTAAAAGTCTATGTGTGTATGGACACATAGAATAACATGGAGGGCCATTTGGAAGCTGTAAAAAAAAAAAACACCTGATGCCCCTAAAAGTGGCTTCAAAAACGCATGTGAATGAGGCCTTATACTAAGTGAGGCTTCATAAGGCTTCATGCAAACTAAATGTTTTCACAGCTGATCCTAGGGGTGTTTGTCAATTGTGTCCAGCACACAAACATTTAGTCCTCATGCACACTGGATGTTTTTTTACAGTGGCTGTTTTTGGCTTTTGACGTTGTTTTCTACAGCTAGTAAACCTCCCAGCATGTTATCCTATGTGTCCATGCACACATAGACTGTAATCAACGTTTTTTGGCAGGGTTGTTTTTTGGCTGGAAAAAACTTCCAGAACTAGAGAGGAGTTTTTTTAGCTATAAAAATGCTCTAACGCGGTAAATCAAGGCAAACCAGCATTTTTGGACTTTTTTTGACCAAAAAAAAATATTTTTTTTGGTAAAAAAGAACTAAAAAATGCTAAAAAAATGCAAACACGAAAAAACATGGCTAAACGCTAATACAAAAATGCTAAAAAACTCAAGTTTTTAACTTGACTTTGCACAGCTAACTTTACCAGCGTTATTAAAATGCCCCGTGTGCATGGAGCCTTAGAGGCACTTAGTGGCAGGAGAGTTTATAGGCAGGAAAAAAACTCACTGCCAATGCGTCCAGAAGCAGCGGCGTTTTTGCAGAATTCTTGATGCCATTAACGCATGTAAACACGTTAAAGGTGCGTTAACGCCACGTGCGTTTAGCGCTTAGAGTGTTAATTCACTTAATGGCAGGAGAGTTTATAGGATGCAGGAATGAGGCTAAACTCACTGCCAGGTGTTCAAAATGCGTTGCCAGGAGGAGGCTTCTAGGAGAGTTAAAAAAAAAAAAAAGATGTCCAGTGTGCATGAGGCCTAAGAGACACAGAAAAAGAAACCTTCAACAAGGATACATAGATAATAGGGATTCTAGTTTTTGCCTAAAAAAAAAAAAATTATAGTTCTTTTTTAGAGATTGTCCCTCACATCCTGTCTGGCAAAGCCATTGGCACCAGGACAGAAAGTGAGGTGAAATCTCTCATGAAGGCCCAAATGCCAGTACAAATTCAACCCAACAGGGGCTGTACTGCTTTCCTACTCCATTAAGAACTAAACAAAATGTGGGCTTTATATAATATATTATTATTATTATCATCATCATCGTACATTTTATTTTTGCCAACCCCAAAAAATTAAGTACATTTTAGCACTCTATAAAGGCTTTATTTTTTTTTTAAACTCTCCTTATCCAGATTGAGAAGATAGAATAATCAAAACAGCTCCTAATAGTTTATATTTCTTTTATGTTTCTGGCCGTTAAAGATAGTGTTTCCTGGCATCAGCATAGCAGCATACATGCAGCCAAATGTATACTGTCATGGATTGGGCCAGGAAAGGAACATTTATGGTGAGTAATGATACAATTTACCATCTTCAATAGAAAGCCTAGTCCTTTTTCTGTTATGGGTGAGAAGTACTGTGTATGAATAGAAAGTCTTGGAAACTTTACCTGCTTGGAGAACAATAAATTAGTGTTTGACATAAAATGCAGCCAATGTATTTTGGAGAGATTTTTGGTAGTGTTAAATCTGTTGGCCCTGGGCACGGCAGTTATTGTCCTAATATAACTTTTTTCTGGAGTGTCTGCTATGATAGCAGGTTTGTCACTGCAGAAACTCCAGGACACAGGCGGCCCAACCCCCCCCCCCCCCCCGAAACGTGACCACCAACCCCCAGAAACATGACAACTGCTTTCCATCATACACTGTGATCATTGCTCTTCAACTCTCTGGAGTGTCAAATACTTTCTGTTCACACATGGTGCTCCTCGCCCATCTCCATAATCTTCACATGCTTGAAGGGACCAATTCTGAGGACCCTCAATGAGTCGAGCCACCACAGATCTACTTACCACCAACAAGGTCTAGAGGTAATTCAACCGTACTTACAACGCTTTTTCTAAAATGACACTGAGATTGTTAAGTGGTCAGTTTAGATATGAAAGTGCTTAGTATAGCCCTTCTATAAGAATGGTTCCCCTGTCCTCAGAGAAAAGGGAAGTGCTGGTTTATGGAGTCTGAAGCCAAGTGAAGAATCTTCCCATCTGCTGAGAAACCAATTAGGTAACAGATAACTGTTCCATTGAAGAACTGTTATCTGCTTTCAGATCACTGGAGGACCTCGGTGTGTAGATAGCATATAATGAACACTTAGAATGAATTCTGCTGTATCTACACATCTGTGTGTATATCAATTTATTATTGTTGCATTCATGCCTTTAGTCAGAATTCACAAAGCTTCAACACAAGGATTGGGATCTCTATTTGTGACTGTCATTTTAATATCTCTTTGGACTCAACTAAGAATAACTGTCACTCATCTTGTACTTATGTCTGATGCAGAGAGAAGTGTCTGGTCGGGTTTGGTTGATCTTGTGTCCAGCACACATCTCTCAGGATGGACTCCCTGTTCCGCAGTGAAGAGATGAGCCTGACGCAGCTGATCCTGCAGGTGGAAGCCGGGTACTGCTGTATCGCTGAACTGGGCGAGCTGGGCCTGGTGCAGTTCCGGGATGTAAGTACGCCTAGCCGCAGGTAGATGCAGATATATAGGCTCCTTTCATGTTCCATCATTGTCTTCCCATGTATGTGTCTGTCATCCTGGCCAAATCCTGTCTGTCAGGAGCTCACAGGCCACCTATTTTACTATACAGTACCGCATGGCCCTCAGCACTATCACTGGCATTAATACTGCCAATACCAAGTCACCCAATGCCATACAATGGCCAAATCCAGGAATCTTTTTACCTGCCGAACTAAATTATTATAACTCACATTATTATGTTATCCCCCTTGCAGCAGAGCAAAAGGAAAGTGACAACACTTTTGTGATCCTGCAATTCTGCAGACTTGTGCACCCCCCCTTCTATTTTTTGGACTGCTAATTAGCAAATTGGTGATTTCTAGAGAATATACTGCTATGCACCTTTCAGCAATTCTCTGTTTTCATTTATAAAAAGTGGACCTGTCAGTAGCTTGTCTGTATGAATAAGTTTAGGAAATAATACCTCCTTAGCCTCTCACCTTACAGTATGACTTGCTATAAAGTTACAGTGTACAGTCTGAGTGATCACTGGGGGAGAGGAGACTGGGGAAACATTCCTCCTGCAAAAACTTCAGATCCTCATAAAATCAATGTTTTATTGAATACAGTCAATGGATTTTGACTCTTTATCATGTTGTAAGCATTTTTCATTTAACGAATTCACAAACTGTTGCATGTTGTTGTTTGTTTTTCTTATCACTTTTTATCGGCTTGCAGCTGAATGCATTGGTGAATAATTTCCAGAGGCGGTATGTGAACGAAGTGTGTCGATGTGAGGGGATGGAAAGAATCCTGCGTGAGTATCCAACCACTGCCACCTGGACAGTCCAATGGAGATATTGAATGGTGCGGGTTTATTACATGGTACATGGAGCCCAGCAAAATAAGAGGGCCCCAGCAATTTCTCCACACACATCTACCATATTCCAACAAATGATCAGATATATTTTTTTTATTCCTGTCTGTGTAATTTTTGGAGATTTTTCCTCACTTTCTAGCTGTTGAAACCTTTGCCACTGTGACATTAAAGTGAGGGAAAATCTGTCTAATGGAGCCCCATAAAGCACTAAAACCTTACAGAAATTAAAATCTTTCCCCATCCTAACGAAAACTAAAGTAAGATGTTTAGGCTGTATATACGCTTTATCATTTTAAAGGCCAAGTTCTCAAATTTTTAAAACCCCCAGTGTTCTTCCCTAGCCCCCTCAATATAATCAGCTGTGTCAACCTCCCCCTTTCCTCCCCACAAGCTCCAACTTACCTCCTCCGATGGCTGCAGCCTCCTTCAGAAAAGCCTCTCCCCTGCCAGCATGCTGTAGAGTGGGTCCCTTTTACTTTGTTTGGATGCAGTGGTCTCTCTGCAAAGGTTTGTCAAGCCTTCAGTTAGAGCTAGAGCTCTCCAGTCAGAGGGGAGCATGAGCTTTGCTGTTTGTGGAGATATACAGTAGGTCTGACTCTGTAGGGGGCATGTTGGAGCTCTGCAGTGAGACTACTGCGTCCACATGGAGAACAAGGGTCCTTCTCTGCATCCTGCTGGCAGGAAACAGGCTTTTCTACTCAGGCTGTCTCAGGCTGGCTCATCTTTAATTAACTTGCAGGTTTCCTGGAGTGTGAAATGCAGAATGACAAGATTGTAATCCCAGTCCCAGAGAAGCCCCCACAGACCCCGCTGCCCCGAGAAATGATAGACCTGGAGGTAAGTGACATAGAGGGGAGGTAAGTGGGGGTGTAACATTTTACTTCTGTTCGAGATCTATCTCTCCCTGGGGATGGGGAATGGTCTTCGGAGGTATGAGGCACTAACCATCTCTGCAACCCCCACACCAGACTGTCTTGGAGAAGCTGGAGGGGGACCTTCAGGAGGTAAACCGAAACCAGCAGACCCTGAAACAGAACTTCCTTGAGCTGACAGAACTCAAGCATCTCCTGAAGAAGACTCAGGATTTCTTTGAGGTAAGATTTCCAAACATATAATTGATCCAATATGTGTTCCATGTAGAGCGGGGGTCCTGGGTTTAGTCCCTGGCAGATAATCAGTCTTCAGGGTCTCTGTATGTTATCTCTGTCTTTGCTCCACTTCCTATGTGTCTGACCATGGTGGGACATTGCAATCCTCTAGCAGAGACTGATGTGACCTCTTTTACATACTGTACCTTGTTAGGTGCACAGGACAGGACATGCTTGTTTCAGCAACTGTCAAGTGTGCACTTGTTCACCAACAGTTAAGAGAGGAGGCTTGCTAGGAGGAAGAAGTTTGGCTACGCAGTTTACACAACACAGAGTCTGTGGTTTATTCAACAAACCAGAAGATGACCTTTAGAAGACAACATGACTGAAAACATTGTTTTCAGCAATCAGGCTTTGCACTAGTTAATAGAAAAAAATAAGGCACACTACTCGATCAGTTGCTGAATGTTTTCTTGTCCATGGAGCAAACCTTTTGAGGTCCTCTTCTGGTGACAACACTACAATCACTTTCAGTCCTGGTGACAACAGTGATCAAGACAAACTGAGAAGGTGAAAACCTAGCCTACAATGCTGGGTCCAAAACCATACTCTTTATATATCATTTATACAGGCATAATAATATGCAGAATCACATGGTTATATGTGCCCCAAGATTTTGTTTGATTCTACTGCTGCAGCTGCTTGGCACCGAGGGTGGCGCTAACCTAAATGTAAATGTATTATTATAATTATTGTTTTATTATATTATTATTTTTATCTTCTTATTGCATATACCCCCAGAAAGTATTAATAGCATGTGAATTTTGACTGACACTTGTATGTCTGTGTCTACAAGCAACAAAGGAATGATATCCAGAAGAAAAAAGTCCAAACTGAAACATTTTTATTTGTTAAAATGTCATGAAACACGCTGAAGTGTTTCAGAGGATTCAAAACCCTTAGGACCCTTAAATCCTCTAAAATACTATCATTCCTTTGGCATTCCTAAACCTCGAAATACAAGTCCAAGTCTTCCATGGAAGCCGCTTGAAATTTATGTAAAATACTCCAATACCTTGAGAAATCCCCAAAATAGCTTACCCAGATCCACCACAACCACCACAGCATACAAATTAAAAAATTTTTGAGACATTGAAATGCAGCAAACACTAAGGGTGATATTTCTGCAGCAAGGATGGTAATTATTGATGGAAGAGTTGGACCCAACAGTTAATCCAACTGTAGGAAACCTGATCACTAGCAGTGGATTTTGTAAAGCTACCTTTAATACAAATGATTCATTTCCATAATGCTCTATGTTACATCGATATTCTCGATTATAATATTCTTTGCAGGCAGAAGCCAATTTACCAGATGATTTCTTCAACGAAGACACCAGCAGCCTTTTGGAGCTCCGAACTATCCCTACTCCAGCTGCTGCTGGGAAACTTGGGTGAGTTTGGGTAGCTGGTACCTGAGTGACCTTACTGGCTTCTTCACCATTAGCTAGATTTTTCTGAAATACTGATCAGACCCACCCAAGGTTTGGGTTAGGCTTCCCCTGTTTGTGAATGGTAGGTGCACAGTGCCATGGACTCGGCAAATGTTTGTGAAGTGTTGAAGCAGTCTTAGATGGACCCCTTATGGAGGCTGATAAGTCAGGTTTTTAGTTGGGAGAGTTTGTTCTGGTCAGGGGCGGACTGACCATTTGGAAACTCGGGCACTGCCCGAGGGCCCGGGGTCAGTAGGGGGCCCCATGAGATGCCCCTGGTACCTTTTTCATAGGCTTTTTTGAGTTTGGGCAAGGACACAGGGGCCCCATGATCCCCTATTGCCCGGGGGACCCATGAGTTGTCAGTCCGCCCCTGGTTCTGGTTTACCAACTCCACGTCATGCACATGGGTGCATTTTCCTGTGCAGCATAAGGATGCTGTGTATTTCTGGTGCCCAGGATATCCTGTATAGGATGTTGTGTATAGCCACCTATAGACATGAATGAGTGAAGGTGGATGCATGTGTGAAGCCATAGGGTACTTGCACACAGTACTGATATTTGAACATGAATATTCTTGGCCAAAATGTCTTGCCTTTTTTTTGACTGTATTTGCGCACATTTGTGCGTACGCAAGTAAAGTAAATTCTAGCTCTCAGGATGTCATTTTAACATCTTCAACTTAATATGTTACATCTGTATGTGTATGTAATCGTGTGCATAAAATACTGACTGGCAACTCAGATTTCTGTAATTTTGTACTCATCTATAAAAAGCACATGTTTACATGTCTGTGTATACAGACAAATAATATACAGTTATATATATAATAATATCATTGAAATAATTGGGTTGCATTTAGATGAAAAAAAATAAAAAAAAACTCCTGTATGCCGTAGGGTACTTACACATGGTACTGATGTTTGAATATCAGTAGTTCTGGCTAAAACTATTTGCGCATACACAAGTATAATAAATTCTAGTTCTCAGAATGAAGTTTTAATCTCTTCAAATGAACACGTTATGCAGAGTTTGTAGGCAGCAATGTGCAGAGGCCTTATGTTGTATGTTTATTTCTGCATCTGCCTAATGTGTGCCTTCAGCCAATATACCAACTCATGCTGAGAAAATTCTTACAGTGAACATTTTCGGTTCCTCTCACTAATCTACAAGAAGGTAAAATTTCTGCAAGGGTTATGAATAGCACACAATAATAAATGTTAGTAAGTTACCAATGACAATATCTTATTGGGTCAATCATTTAATGTGTTACTAAACTCAAAACAGTGAAACCAGTCTGTATATGCAGTAAAGAATGCTTGCTCAACTCACTGTGAAACCTAAGGGGTTAACCCTCTGCATTGTGCAAAAAACGCTGTTTGATCCTGACTTCTCTGATCCACCTCTTCTTCTAGTGCCCCTCTCTTATCTCCTGATAAGACATATTGTGTGGAGACACTTTGCACATGCTCAGTTTGGTGTGTATTGCTAGAGAGGATTTTTTTTTGTCTTGGGAGAGTGCATGTGATCAGCACGGGGCCAATCAGCATTGTCCAGAGCAAGGTCAGGAGTTCTGCATCCCCCTAGAGCAGAATGAAAACTCCTCCTACTAGCTTTAACCAGTGCTCTGCTGAACACTGATAGAAGTCACAAGACTGCTCTAATTGCATTTCCATGTTCTGTGTACTGTGGGAGACCAGATATAGTGAATGTAGGATCCAGGGGGTTTAGTAACACTTTAATAGTATTTATAGATCTTGGGAGATATAGCCTACAAATATCTGCCTGTTCCCTCCTAATTCACTGGCAGAGAAGTAAAATTGGTAATGATACCTTTTCCATAGTAATCAGCTGCAAAAAATTGTTACAAGCCGAGTTGTATTTTTTTTTATCAGGAAACATGAAATAAGAATATAACGACAAATGTGTTGTGGTCTTCCCTAAAAGAAAAACTTAAAAGTAAACTTTCCCTTTTAATAAAGAAAAGAAAGATAAAAGATGTTTTTCTTAGTGTTTTATGTCCAATTACACCTGGCTCTTCGTTTCTATAAGGGCCGGGTTCACACCAGAAGGCAGTGCGGGAAAGCCTTGTTCTGTGTGTGTTTCCCACACCACACTCAAAATGCATTGCCTTTGTAATCTGCTGCAGGTGCAATATGATGTTAACACAACCCCAAATGCAGATCACAAACGCAGTGTTTGCAGGCAACAGATCACATAGTACCGCAGTGCCATGCAATTTGGTACAGCTCTTTTTTGAAAAGTAGTACATGTGTTACTTTTTCTGTGTTTCAGTGCAATTTGCAGCCTATTCAAATGATTAAGCAACAAAATCACATCGAAGCCGATTGGTTTCTATGCAGAAGTGAGCCTGATTTTGCACTCACCAGATTTAGAAAACAAACCCCATAGTGTCTATAGGACAGATAGTGAAAGAGATCCTCCTCAATGGGGCACAGATAGCAAAAAATGACTGAAAAAATGGCTTAAGATATATTCTAATCATCCTGGTGACCAAGACAAGAGTACTCCATTTCTAATGATGATATTTTAGAATCCCCCCTCAGCTCTAGTAATTGGTTGCTTTTCTCAAAAATCTGCAATGCGCTTACAGCCAAATTACAGGCATTCCCTGCAACAGGATTTCTATGGTGAGATAAACTGAAATGTTGTTTGCAAAATTAAAGGGATACCAGCTTTTCTTCATTCAAAGTGTAGACTGATCATGTGGTTATAGCAGGCAGACCCTTACATGTAGCTTACTTGCAGAAGGTACATGAGCAGGTGTGCCTTGATAAAGTTTAATAAATCCTTACCAAAAAAAATATCTATCTATCTATCTATCTATCTATCTATCTATCTACAGTATATTGCCAAAAGTATTGGGATGCCTGCTTTTACACGCACATGAACTTTAATGGCATCCCAGTCTTAGTCTGTAGGGTTCAATATTGGTTTGTCCCACCCTTTGCAGCTATAACAGCTTCAACTCTTCTGGGAAGGCTGTCCACAAGGTTTAGGAGTGTGTCTATGGGAATGTTTGACCATTCTTCCAGAAGTGCATTTGTGAGGTCAGGCACTGATGTTGGATGAGAAGGCCTGACTCAGACTCCACTCTAATTCATCCCAAAGGTGTTCTATCGGGTTAAGGTCAGGACTCTGTGCAGGCCAATCAAGTTCCTCCAAACTCGTTCATCCCATGTCTTTATGGACCTTGCTTTGTGCACTGGTGCGCAGTCATGTTGGAACAGGAAGGGGCCATCCCCAAAAAGTTCCCACAAAGTCAAGAGCATAACATTTTCTAAAATGTCTTGGTATGCTGACGCCTTAAGGGTTTCCTTCACTGGAACTAAGCAGTGTGCATGCCTAGGGGCTTAATTTTATACACCTGTGGTCATGGAGGTGATTGGAACACCTGAATCCAATGATTTGTGTGTGAGTGTGTGTGTGTATATATATATATATATATATATATATATATATATATGTGTATATATATATATATATATATATATATATAGATGATCTTGGAAATAAGTTGACTTCCATGCTCTTAAGAACACTGGAGTTTCCATTTAGGGAAAAGCTGTCTTTGTCCTATCACATTTCTTTTCTCCTTCCTCGGTAAATAGCTCAAATTGTATGTATATAAGATAAAGGAAAACTTTGTGCCCAGAAAGTTGACACCGCCAGGTGTGGGTGTCATGAATTCATCAATGGGGGATTAAGATGTTTCTAGGGGAATTGAATAGACAATCTTGGTTTGTATTCCCTTCACTTTTCAATGTCTCCCTTGTCTCAGGTTCACCGCCGGGGTCATCGGAAGGGAGAGGATGGCTGCTTTTGAGAGACTGCTGTGGAGGGTCTGCAGGGGGAATATTTACCTGAAATATAGTGAGCTGGACACCACGCTGGAGGACCCAGTCACAGTAAGGAGCAAAATAATACTGCACCTCCGTTATTGGCCAATCGGGCATACTTAAGTTACAAATATGGAAATAAGGAATTTGCAGCTAAACATTCACATGTTCACATGTAAAATGCTATCTATCATCTGGCACCACTGATTTTAATATTAAAGTGTTTTAATGAGAGTATGGCCTCCTAAGCACTTTTACTGAACAACTCATTCATAGTGATCATACGATATCATCACAGTTTCAACTTCTGACTGATCACATGATAAAATCACACTTGCTTTGACTACAGTAGCTCTGAGTTATCACACGGCACCATAACTTGCCATAATTTAAATTATTGGCTCTAATTGATTACATGACACCAGTGCATTCCCATACTTTTCTACTTTGGTTATTATTGATCATATGACATCATTAAAGTAGTATTAAACCTTCAGCAGTTTTAGCTGAAAACACTGAGCACACTGAAGTCAACATTCCCCAGTAAACGATTTGTTAAAATTCTTCCCCCAGTGCTTTCAATTTACAACTTTCAATGGTGCTGGATCCTGTTCTGTCAGTCTTGCTTTCCTGTACCTCTGGTCTTCTCAGGAAAGACTTAGCTGTGGTCAGTGCAGTCTCCAGTCAGTCTGTTACCTAGAGAAGGGAGGGGGAGGAGACCATCAGGGCGGACTGACAACTCATGGGGCCCCCAGGCAATAGGGGATCATGGGGCCCGTGTCCCTGCCCAAACTTAAAAAAGCCTATGAAAAAGATACTAGGGGCATCTCATGGGGCCCCCTACTGACCCTGGGCCCTCGGGTAGTGCCCTGGTTTCCAAATAGTCGGTGCACCCCTGAAAACCATCCTAGGCTTTGAGGCTGTGTGTTTCTATTGATGACCACAATGTAGGAAGACACAACTCTAGTCCCAGCATGCAAAAGGACACTGCAAGAGAATGGAAGCCACCCTGAAACAGGAAACCTGGAGCAGCTGTTATGGCACCAGCTTAACCAGAAACATAAGCAAGGAAAAAAAAGATGAAGTTACATATTCAAAAAGTTATTAAATCAGCTGCTGGAAGTGCTTACAGTCTGAGAGTTTAATATAACTTCAATCTTCTCTACAATTCCTCTGAATGACTACATGAGATTGATGTCACGTAGATGAAGGTCTACCGACAACAAGAGATAGCAGTTGCTTTTCAGGTATTGAGCAGAACCTAATTACATTTACACGTCTCCTCTGCTTGTACTTTATATTCCAAAACACAGCTACAAGATCGCATCTGATAATGACTAGTGACTGCGTTCTTAGCTCACATTTATCCTCTTCTGTCTCATATATAATGTTACAATTTTCTTTTATCACTTTTCCAGAAAGAAGAGGTGAAGAAAAATGTTTTCATCATCTTCTACCAGGGAGAACAGCTCAAACAGAAAATAAAGAAGATTTGTGATGGGTGAGTGGTGTCCCCCCTTCCCCCAGCCAGTGACCCCCTTCCCACAGCCAGTGTCCCCCTTTCTCCAGCCTGTGATTGTTTTAACTATGACTTGGTATAAAGAATTAGTGCATATTTGAGATGATAAAAACAAACCTAAAATGTTGAGCTGCTTCTCAGACTGTGTGTATACAGTAATAGGATAGTATATATATAGTAAAGTAGCAGAACCTTTTTCTAGCATAGCTCTATGGGGACAGCAAAGTAAGAAAAATGGTTAAAGGCTTTGTTTGCAAACTTGCTTGATTTTTCAATGAATACTGAACCTGGTCTTGTTTTATATATATATATATATATATATATATATATATATATATATATATGGTAATTTTTGTTTTATAAAAATTTATACCATACATAACTTGGAGATGGCAATGAATTGCTAAACAAAACGACTTTCTTAGTGAGGGTTCACACATATGCGGTTAGGATGCTGTTTGAACCACATCCAATCCGCATGACATGTGAAATAAAATTGCTTCCTATGGTGCCTGTTCACATATGTCCGGTGCTCAGGCAGTGCGGATTCAGTGTGGATTGAAAAAGAGTCCTGTACGATTTCTGAGCAGTGCAGTTCGGTTCAAGTTTGGATTACAAGCTATTGATTTCTATGGGAACCATTTCCAAACTGTACATGTGAACAGGATAAAATCCTGACCTGAACCTGTCCTGATCCTGATGTAAACCTGACAGAAACTGTGAACAACTACTGTGTCAATTAGCTGTGAGATCTGAGCTTCAGGGCCTGTTCACGCCATAGAAACACAGTCTGGATGCGTTCTGGATGTATTTCTGTATGTGTGTTTTTGATGTGTTTTTTTACGCGTTCTGGTACATTTTTTCTCCTTTTTCTAATTCTTCAACTTAACGTGCATTCTGGTGCATTTTTTGGTGTGTTTAGGTGTGTTCTGGTGCATTTTGATGTGTTTTACTGCATTCAGTACAGTTCAGTGCAGAAAAAAATGCACCACTCTCCCTTTTTTTTCTGAAACTGGAACGCACTGGAACTGACCACACTGGTGTCATTGGAAACCATGTAACCTAATATCAATGCATTTTTGATGCAGAAAAAAAAATGCACTGGACTGCATGTGATGTGAATTGAACCTAAATCCACACCGTACATGTGTGAATCAGCTCTTACCTCTGTTCACATCAAGCCCGTCTTTGAAATTGTGCGACTTACAGTGAAGTTGCACGATTTCAAAGTCGGATGAAATGCCAATTTCAGGTGTGATTTGCAAGACATCTGATACAGATGTATATGCAAATCGCAGCAAAAGTAGTGCATGTACTACATTAGAAATCGGTGCGGCTCTGACCAAGTCAGAACGACACCCATATGACCGCTCCAATTGCGGACAATAAGGTGCGATTTGGCATGCAATTCGCAAGTCGCAGGGCATGCAAATCGCATGCCAAGTCTCATCCAGTGTGAACCAGGGCTTAAAGGGGAACTAAAACCATCAATTTAACAGTTTAAAAAAACAGTTACATTCCCCGCATGTGCCAGGAATGTAACTATCACATTTTCAGGTGTTCGCAACCAAACTGTCAAACCATCAAATTCCTGCTGTCATAACTGATCACATGGGCAGTACCATCGCAGTTGCAGATCAAACAGAGGCCAAGATGGCAGCTTCCTTGGCTAGAAAAGCTAGGAGGGTTTAGTTCTGTTTTAATTCACCGTCACTCACAAATAAAGAAACAATTTGGCCAATTTGGCCCTTCAAATGAGTTTAGGTGTTTCCAGCAAATGGTACTGTTACTACTGCAGAATACAAAGACATTTTAGACAATTGTGCTCAGTAACAGTTGGGGAAGGTTCTTTTCTTTTCTGGCATGACTGTGCCCCCGTGCACAAAGCCAGCTCCATAAAGACATGGTGTGACCAGTTTGGTTTGGAGGAATTTGAGTGACCTACCCAGAGCCCAGGCCTCAACCCTACTGAACACCTTTGGGAGGAATTGGAACACTGATTGTGAGACAGGTCTTCTCACCCAACATAAGGACCTATCCTCACAAATGGGCACAAATTCCCACAGACAGGAGAAGAGTGGAGGCTGTTATAGCGGCAAGGTAAGGAGCCATATTAATGGACATGGTTTTGGAATGGGATGTATAGTAAGATCACATACAGTTGTGACCAAAATTATTCAACCCCCACTGAAATTGAGTGTTTTGGCCAGTTTGACATTGCTTTTGATCATTCAGTCATCTTGCTTACATTTACATTAAAGAGGCACTTGTAGGTCAGACAAATATAACATAACAGTTATAATGAAATAACCACAAATGTCTTTTCTGTGCTCACAGCATTATCAGTTTTATTCAACCCCCAAGTGACATTCAATCTTAGTACTTAGTACAGCATCCTTTTACAGTTATAACAGCTTTTAAACGTGAAGCATAGCTTGACACAAGTGTCTTGCAGCGATCTACGGGTATCTTCGCCCATTCTTCATGGGCAAAGGCCTCCAGTTCAGTCACATTCTTAGGCTTGCGCACTGCAACTGCTTTCTTTAAGTCCCACCAGAGGTTCTCAATCGGATTTAAGTCTGGTGACTGCGATGGCCACTCCAAAATGTTCCAGCCTTTCCTCTGCAACCATGCTCTAGTGGACTTGGAGGTATGCTTGGGATCATTGTCCTGTTGAAAGGTCCAACGTCTCCCAAGCCTCAGGTGTGTGACGGACTGCATCACGTTTCCATCCAATATCTCCTGTACTGAAGAGAATTCATGGTACCTTGCACACGCTGAAGCTTCCCTGTACCTGCAGAAGCAAAACAGCCCCAAAGCATGATTGACCCTCCACCATGCTTCACAGTAGGCAAGGTGTTCTTTTCATCATAGGCCTTGTTCTTCCTCCTCCAAACATAGCGTTGATCCATGGGCCCAAACAGTTTAATTTTGTTTCATCAGTCCACAGAACACTATCCCACAACTTTTGTGGTTTGTCCACATGGCTTTTGGCATACTGCAGTCGACTCTTCTTATTCTTTGGAGACAGCAAGGGGGTACGCCTGGGAGTTCTGGCACGGAGGCCTTCATTACGCAGTGTGCGTCTTATTGTCTGGGCTGAAACTTCTGTACCCACATCTGACAAATCTTTTCTCAGTTCCTCAGCAGTCACACGGGGACTTCTCTCCACTCTACGCTTCAGGTAGCGCACAGCAGTCGAAGTCAGCATCTTCTTTCTGCCACGACCAGGTAGCGTTTCAACAGTGCCCTTTGCCTTGAATTTGCGAATGATGCTTCCTAAGGTGTCTCTTGGTATGTTTAACATCTTTGCAATCTTCTTATAGCCATTGCCCTTCCTGTGAAGAGAAATCACCTCTTCTCTTGTCTTCCTGGACCATTCTCTTGCCTTCACCATGTTTGTAACCACACCAGTAAATGTCTAGAAGGAGCTGAGTATCACAGTCATTTTAAAGCTGCCTAATTGGTGCTTATTATGCTTGATTGCTGCTCGGTGACATCCACAGGTGTTTTCAATACCTGATGGAAAGCACCTGTATGAACCTCTGTTCTTCAGAGTGGTAGTCTTTAAGGGGTTGAATAATTGTGGCAATGAAGAAACCACATAAGAACCATTTACTACTGTATTACATAAACAATTGATGTCATTTTAGTTGCATTTGGGTAGTTACAACGTCCTTGTAGGATTTGATTCTGAATACAATTCCAAATGTACACTATAGTCCCTAAACCCCTTTACAGCATTGGGGGTTGAATAATTTTTGGTCACAACTGTAAGTGTGATGTTCAGGTGTCCGGAGATCTTTGGCCATATAGTGTATTTTGGATGATCTGAGACTGTGCTGTTGTTAGTATCATATTATAAACCCTCTCCCAGTAATCTGTATCTGTCATAGAATACACTGCAGACATCTGTAAAGTACCTGTCTGATATGTAACTGGTCCATCTGCATGTGATCCTTCCCAACGCAACTTTCCTGTTCTGCACAGTTTCAAAGCCACAGTCTATCCTTGCCCAGAGAACGCCAGTGAGCGAAGAGACATGGCAGCTGATGTGAACACCAGGATTGAAGATTTAAATGCGGTAAGTGAGCAGTAGAGACACTACATCTCTGAATAATGAGACTTATTACACAATAAACCAACACTGTCTTTTTTTTAAAAAAAAAAAAGGCTAAGAACCAGGGGCGGACTGACCATTTTGGAAAATCGGGCACTGCCTGAGGGCCCGGGGTCAGTAGGGGGCCCCATGAGATGCCCCTGGTATCTTTTTCATAGGCTTTTTTGAGTTTGGGCAAGGACACAGGGGCCCCATGATCCCCTATTGTCCAGGGGCCCCATGAGTTGCCAGGCCGCCCCTGCTAAGAACTAGTACTGTAACTAGTACTGCAATTCGGAAGAGATTTTCATTATTCGGAGTTTTAGATATATCCGAAATTTTCAAATCACAATGGTAATGAATTTCAATGACTCTGAAATAAATTATAAACTATATGAATTATCCAAATTTGAATTTAAAAATGACTTCAAATTTGGAATGGAAACATTGCAATAAATCCAGTAAGGTATAAAAGTGAAATAAGATGATGATGATTCATACTGAGGCTGCTTTATAGAACAGAATAGAAATGAATAGAATAAAATAGAACAGAATAGAAAATAAAAGAATAGAACTGAATAAAACGGAATAAAATAGAAACTAAAGGAACAGAATAGAACTGAATAAAACAGAATAAAATAGAAACTAAAGGAATAGAATAGAAAATAAAAGAATAGAAATGAATAAAACAGAATAAAATAGAAACTAAAGGAATAAAATAGAAAATAAAAGAATAGAATAGAATGAGTTAGAATAAAGCAGAATAGAGTAGAATAGAAGAGAAAAAAATAGAATATAATAAAATAGAGTGAATGTAGTTGTTTTCCAAAATTTTAATCCATTTGAAAATAACTAATACAGGAAAAAAATCTGAATATATGAAACAAATTCCGAAAAAGAACAATTCTAACATAACGAGTATGACGAAAAGAAATTAACTTAATGAACAAATCCAAAACAAAGAGAAATACATTTTTCTATCGTGCACATCTCTACTAAGTACTAAAGGTTTGACAAAAAATGTCATATTTATAGAATACACTATTCGGATTTAATACAAAGAAATACTTTTGGGGAAGAAAAATCTTAATATGCTCTTTATTTATATTTTTTAATTGAATGTTTTACTCCATATTTGATCTCTGTTGTGGGTTTAGAAGTATTTTGTGGTTATCGTCTCATCTCAGGAAGTCAGTACATTATCACTGTATCTCCCTACAGGTCATCACCCAAACCGAATCTCATCGCCAGCGTGTCCTGCTGGAGGCGGCCCAGAATCTCTACAATTGGACTGTTAAAGTGAAGAAAATGAAGGCAGTGTATCATGTACTAAACCTTTGCAACATTGATGTCACCCAGCAGTGCGTCATTGCTGAAATCTGGTGCCCTATAACTGACAAGGAGCGCATCAAACGGGCATTGCACCTCGGCATGGTGAGTGTACATGGATATATTTATTCATGGAAGATATAACTTATATCTAGAGTACAGTGATGTCACTCCTGCATAATAAAACTTATATCTGGAGAGCGGTGATGTCACTCCTGCATAATAAAACTTATTTGTGGAGAGCGGTGATGTCACTCCTGTATCATATAACTTTTATGTGGAGAGCGGTGATGTCACTCCTGTATCATATAACTTATATGTGGAGAGCGGTGATGTCACTCTTGTATATTATAAGTTATATCTGGAGAGCAGTGATGTCACTCCTGTATAAAATAACTTATATCTGGAGAGTGGTGATGTCACTCCTGTATAATATAACTTATATCTGGAGAGCGGTGATGTCACACCTGTATAATAAATCTTATATCTGAAGAGAGGTGTTGTCACTCCTGTATAATATAACTTGTATGCAGAGAGAAGTGATGTCATTCCTGTATAATATAACATATCTGAAGAGCGGTGATGTCACTTCTGTATAATATAACATAACTGGAGAGCGGTGATGTCACTCCTGTATAATATAACTTATATCTGAAGAGCAGTGATGTCACTCCTGTATAATATAACCTATATCTGAAGAACGGTGATGTCACTCCTGTATAATATAACCTATATCTGAAGAGCGGTGATGTCACTCCTGTATAATATAACATATCTGGAGAGCGGTGATGTCACTCCAGTATAATATAACTTATATCTGAAGAGCGGTGATGTCACTCCTGTATAATATAACATATCTGAAGAGCGGTGATGTCACTCCGGTATAATATAACATATCTGAAGAATGGTGATGTCACTCCTGTATAATATAACATATCTGAAGAGTGGTGATGTCACATGACTCATTGTGATTTTTTTCGATACCAAAGCCTATGACTTACATATCTTGTTCACATGGCAGGAACGCAGCGGTTCCACCATCGCTCCCATTCTTACCAACATTCCCACCAAGATGGAGCCACCGACCTTCAACCGCACCAACAAATTCACTTCCGGATTTCAGAACATTGTTGATGCCTACGGAGTTGGGAAATACAGAGAGATGAACCCAAGTGAGACCAAAACTGTAAAATGTCTGAAAAAACCTCTGAAACCTTTTAACATTCTTCCCTTGGCGTGATATACGTGAGATTCCTCAACTGTATAACCCGTGGGCTGTGCTGGCAAAACTGAGCACATAAACCCAGGGCAACGCTACCAGTTTTCTTATATTAAAAATACATTATTACCAAAATCATCAGGTGGAATAAATGTAAAAAATGAGAAGCAATATGTGGCCATTCTTGCTACTAAGCATGTCAATGGTGGGGATGGGCCCAGATCCAACACACCTCATGCTGACTATGAAGGTGGGCACAAACATAATCCTGCTTCCTCGTTCAGGCTCAGCTACGTACTTCCCACTTACTCATTTACAAACCAACCACTCCCACTGCAAGACTGAATTCAGCTGTTGTGCAATAGATGTAATAACAAATTCCTGATCATCTCAGCTGAATTAAAAACTAATCTAATGACTGGTAAATGATATGAGCATTAAAGTGAATATCTGCATTAAGGTAAAAAAAAAACTTTCAATAGCAGTAAGCCCCAAACCCCCTTTCCACCCCTCAGCTATTGGCTCCTGCTGCTGTCACTCAATCAATCAAATTGTGTGAGGCGGGAGTGAAGGGGTGGGGATGAGCCACGCTGTGTGTGTCTATGGACGATATACACAGTCTGGCTCAGGAACGCTCTCGCGTGAGTGCCCCATAGCAAGCGGCTTGCTGTGGGGTACTCGGAGAAGAGAAGGAGCACAGAGTGCTGGCAGTCAACCCCAGAAGAGGTGGCAAGGGACCGCTCTGTTCAAAACCATTGCACAGAACAGGTAAGTATAGCATCTTTTTTTATTTTAGGGGAAAAAAAAAAGGAAGGTTTACAATCGCTTCAATGAAAGGTTGTTCTTTAAGTCTGAACTTCTCTTCTAAAATGGATGAGTGTTTTTCCCTTAAAGTGAGGAGGATAGGGCATAAATAGCGTGATGTTTCCTTTTGTAGTCACCTATTGCCCTCTAATAAAAAAAAACGATTGTTTGTTGCAGCCCCATACACCATCATCACCTTCCCCTTCCTCTTCGCGGTCATGTTCGGGGATTGCGGTCATGGTCTGGTTATGTTCGGATTTGCATCATGGATGATTTTGAAAGAGAAACAGCTTCTGGCCTCTAAAGTTGACAATGAGGTGAGATCCAATAATAGATTCTTCATCTAAGTAGCCAGAAATAGATTTCCTTCTAAAGTCATCTGCAACCAGGGCTCTCTGCATCTGGAGTTTTATCAAAGAAAAAAAAATTCCCTAGCTTCCTTTTTTTCAATGTGCATGTTCCCTAGGGTAGCTCATTCCTGGCCTGCAGGTATAATGAAAAATATGGTACAAATCTAAAGGGATTCCAGGGATGCCTCCTTTCATATAACATTGTCTCCTGCCCTCAGCACATTTTCTCTTGTACATTCCTCCAAGTCAAAATTCACAATTCATAAAGCCTTGTGCTGTATAGCATCCCTGAATTGCTGACAGAATTGGATCAAGAACAGAACAGTACATTGTTGTCTCATGTGCATTTATTATTTAGCAGCTGCAACTCTTGTACCTGTACACACCCTATGGACTGGAACAATTTCTACATTTCCACTTTGGGCACATATATTTGTCAATAACTTTGTCATCCTTATCTAAGATAACAAAGTAATACATACATAGCTTTTTTTTTTTGTTTTGGCAATATTGGTTTACAAAAATAATTTTATTGTCTGATGTAATCTATAGACAAAAATATATAAAGAATGAAAAAAAAATCCATCTCTTATATGTGATGTGTCACTCTGTCACCTGCACTCAGTGAACAGTTTCACAGGAACTGTATATTTAATGTATTTCCTCCTCCCACCTCCAGATCTGGAACACATTTTTCGGAGGGCGATACCTGATCTTCCTGATGAGTATTTTCTCCATTTACACTGGCTTCATCTACAACGACTGCTTCTCCAAATCCTTAAACATATTTGGCTCTGCCTGGTCTGTTCGGCCCATGTTCACCAAAGGCAACTGGACGTAAGCATCTTCTACACCTATGTGTCATACCATGATCAGAGACACAGGGGTCGTTCCATGCCCATGGTCAGGCTGGCATAGATAGGTTCATTCCACCCAGAACTGGTAGTTCAGTGTTTGGTGGAAGTTGGAGATTCAAGGAATCCAGTGGTGACATCTCTGTGCTTGAGTCTAAGATCTGCATGCAATTTATTTTGATTTGACAAGGATACAACAGGGGGACACTACAAGGTGAGCAGCCCACCAAACCCTAACCATACTAAGGGTAGCCTGAAGCATTTAAACAATACCAGTCATGAGTAGTAGACATCCTTAATATTCATATGATTGTTCAGTCTTACTTGTGAAAGATGTACAGTATATGTATCCTGTTATTTAGCTTTCCATACTTTGTGTTTCTTTACCTTGCATATCAGGGGTCAAAGGCTATCTGAAATCTGACAGGTACTATCTTGTCTACCTGACCCAACACACCATCTCCTATTTCCTGAGAGTACAGTTAACAAAGCAGAGGGAGGGAGAAGTGAAGACAAGAGAGAATTCCAAAGTAAAAATTTGACAAGAGGAAGTTTCAAACATTTTACTGAAGATAAATTCTAATTTGAAACTTTTCTGAATAGACATGTATAGAACCCTGAAAGTATTCACTGCAATTAAATAAAATGTATGCACAGAATTTACATATGTGTAGGCAGGGCTGTATTTGGACACCATACTGCCCACACTTGAATGATGGCACCCTTTTGTACAAGCTCAGCCCCTTGTGTGATTATTTTAGTATGAACTAATATCATAAATAAAACTACTAGAGGCAGCATTGGATTTGGAGAGCAGAGTTGGTTTCATGAGCTATGCAAAGCCGTCTGACTCCTCTCAGCATCCCCGGCAATCCATTCCACTACACCCCCTGCATCTCCCGCACCCCATACCAATGTATTCTCTGCATGAATTGCCCCCCTTCCAACTAGAATTCCTGCATTCTCTGCAAACTTTCCTTCTACACTGCCTACACCCCTTCCAACTAAACTGCTTATGTCCCCTGCATCCCTTCCCACTACATTTCCTACATCCCCTTCACCCCCTCCCACCATAGTTCTCATTGAAAAATTAGACAAAATATTGAGAGGTGGCAAAAAAGAGAAACAACAAATAAAGATATGATTACCAGAATTTGTAAATCTTGAGGCTTGAAGCTGGTCCCTCCTCTAGCCATCCTAGATGCTAACAATTGAGTGTATTATTGTAAATTTGGTGTTAAAAGCTGACTGGCTACTTAAAGTTGAAGGACCCTTGCAGAGCTGATCGTGCATATTACAGCATCTGTACATAATTTTTGAGTAACAAAGAATTTTGGGATGGAATTCTAAATCTCCTGTCCAGCAGTTTCATCCTCCTCTGATTGATGTGACTCTGTAGAGAATTCCATAATTCAAATGATGGCTTTTTTCTCCTCAGAATTAATCAGCTCCATCATGCAACTGACCTACAGCTAGACCCAGCAGTGCCTGGGGTCTTCTCTGGGAATCCCTATCCCTTCGGCATTGACCCGGTAAGCAGCTTTTCTGACTCTCCACAAGCTCTGCAGATGATCTGAAGTCATTTCTGATCTGGAGTCCTTTTCTCTTAATTCAGATTTGGAATATTGCCAAGAACAAGCTGACCTTCCTGAATTCCTACAAGATGAAAATGTCTGTAGTTGTAGGGATCACTCAGATGGTGTTTGGGGTCATAATAAGCCTCATAAATCACATGTAGGTTTGGTTTGGCAAGCACCAAATATTTGTAAGGTCAGCAAAAACTGTCAACGTTTGTTTTATCCTCCTATTTTATTCCCTTTTCAGAAACTTCAGGAATCGCGTGAACATCATCCTACAGTTCATCCCAGAGGTCATATTCATCACTTGTCTCTTCGGGTACCTGGTCTTCATGATCATCTTCAAATGGTGTACATATAATGCGTCCAATTCACAAATTGCTCCCAGCATCCTCATCCACTTCATCAATATGTTCCTGTTCAACTACAATGACCCAACCAATCCTCCACTCTACGAGCACCAGGTGACTGGTCTTGAGATTTCTGCTTTGTCTTGTTCAGTTATAAAATTTACTTAAAAATTATTATGAGAATGGAAAAACATTACATCAGATTGTATCTTAAATAGCTTGTCTTCTTGTCTGTTTAGGATAAAGTGATACAGGTTCTCTTGATTGCCACACACATACTAATGTTTATGTTGGCAGGAAATTGGAATCTTATATTGTATCCTTCAAGGAAGGATAAGTCACCATTCTTCTCCCCCCTGTACCTAGAAATGCCAAGTGCTTTTCATCACTGCACCAAATGGAAGGAGCTGTAGGGGTGAGGGAGTGAAATTGACCTCTTGATAGAACTTGTCCCTTTTCCATGTATGGTCAGACCACTATAAACCCTTTATTTGAAGCCTGAATGAAGTTACATAAATATTCATCATATAGACATTGCACTAATAATCTCTTTATTGATTGTATTACCTCCACTTTTCTGTTCCTGAATATGACTGTGGAGTCCATAGAGACCACAGTCTGACCACACTCCACAGACAACTCTGCAAGAGACCTAGTCAGGCATACCCCCTCTCTCTTGTCAGTTATGCTGCATGCTTAACGCATACTACAGGGGTTATTTACTAAAACTGAAGTGTTCAAAATCTGGTGCAGCTCTGCATAGAAACCAATCAACTTACAGGTTTTATTGCCAAAACTTAACTGAACAAACTGGAGGCAGAAACATATTGGCCACCATGCACAGCTGCACCAGATTCTGAGTGCACCAGTTTTAGTAAATCTATCTCTATAAGGCTGTGTGAAGACCCTTTTGATGAATGGTGTGGCTGTTACTCAGCTCTGCCAGTAGAGAGCCCTGGAAGGAGAGAGCAGGAAAAAAGTATTTTACCAATTTCTGACCATGCTAGAGCTCCTTTGGACACAGCAATCTCATGTCACAGTAAAGGGCAATCACAGCAGCCTTTTATCACGTGATCAGCTGTGTCTACTGCATGCTTATTTGACCAATAAAGGGAAACTATAATGGTTTTATGTCATTTTTTTTTTTTTTAAAACAAAGCACTACGGGTTATCTAAAGAAACTGCACAGCAGAAGCTTCTGTCTATGTCTGATGGAAACCTCAGATTAAGCTGTCCAATGATCTAGAAGATAGGGAGGATTTACTGCTGCGATCCATTCACTTGCGTGAAAATGGCCCCATTGGTGCATGAAAGTGAACTTATCCTTTAAAGCCCCGTTGAAGTATCTGCTTTTATTTTCTAGTCTTGTAGAGCTTTGTGTTGTGTTTTTAGCAGTTTTTGATTTCAAAAGTCCCCAACCAATTGCCTACTGGGCATTTTTAACCCCTTCCTGCCCAGGCCAATTTTCAGCTTTCGCTGCTATTGCACTTTGAATGATAATTGCGCGGTCATGCAAAACTGTGCCCATATAAAAAAAATGTTATAATTTTTTTCACACAAATAGAGCTTTCTGTTTGTGGTATGTAGTTACCACTGGGGTTTTTATTTTTTGCTAAACAATGGGAAAAAAAAACAAAAATTAAAAAAAAACAAAAAACGTTCTTAATTTCTATTATAAAATTTTGCAAACAGGTAATTTTCCTCCTTCACTGAGTGCGTTGATGGGGCTGTACTGATGGACACTGGTGAGGCAGCACTGGTCAGCATTGATGAGGAGGCACTGATGAGGCGACACTGTTAGGTGGGACTGATGAGCACTAATAGGCAGCACTGAAGGGCACTAATAGGAGGCACTGACTGTTGGCACTGACTGGTGGCAGAGATGGGCACAGATTGGCATCACTGGTGGCACAGATTGGCATTGATGGCCACGTTTGAACTGGTAATCAGTGCTGATGTTTCTTTTCACACTTGCCGGTTATTGGCAGTACTTTCTTCACGCTGTGACAGCATGAGGAGAGTACTGCCGATAACCGGCAAGCAGGAGCGGACTGGCAATTCATGGGGCAATAGGAAATCATGGGGCCACGGTGTCCTCGCCCACACTCAAACCACACCCAAAAAAGCCTATTAAAGGTAGCAAGGGCATCTCATGGGGCCCCCTACTGACCCCGGGCCCTCGGGCAGTGCCCGAGTGGCTGAATGGTCTGAATGGTCAGTCCGCCCCTGCCGACAAGTGTGTTTACATCGTGATCAGCTGTGATTGGAAAACTCCCATTTTACATACTTGTTTTAAGGGTGATGCTCAGTTCATGTTTGCATCCATACAGTAAATGTTGATGTGTCTGTTATTTATAAACCCAACTCACCAGCTATATACCTGATTTTCCTCCAGAAAGAGGTACAGAGTTTCCTGGTGATATTTGCACTGATTGCCGTTCCCTGGATGTTGCTGTTTAAACCATTCATTCTGCGAGCCAATCACCAGAAGGCCCAGCGCAGGGTAAGTGGCAAACGCTCCTGAAAAAATGGCAAATAGCATTTAATAAAAGTGCAGGTGAATTTTATCTCCAAAGGCTTCACATAAGAGCCCCAAAACCTAAATGTTTTTCAATTTTTCTAAACGGATCTATCTATATATGTGTATATATATATATATATATATATATATATATATATATATATATATATATATATATATAAAATCCGTTTGAATATGTAAATCGTATCTAAAGGCAAAACTTTTCTTTTTAAGTTTTGCATTGAGTATAAAAGGGAATCAACAGCCATGTTAGGTGTCTTTTTTTTTTTTTTTGCCTATTGTGTCCCTTCGCTTATACCATAGGCACAACAGGAAGTGAGAAGAAATCTCTCCAACGTTTGGGAAATTTCCTCTTAGTTGTCACCAGAACACATGTCCTCGCTGGGAGATTTCCACTGTATTCCTGTTCTGGCAACAACTCCCAACAATAGGAATTCCCACCATTTCCTTTGCAGTGTCAATGCTGAGCAAAGGTTGAATACCTCCAGCAGAGACACATAGACACGTACAGCAATAAAAACCTGACAAGGAAACAAACCCTTTCACTTCATCCAAAACTAAAATATTTTAGTTTAGATAGAGGAAACAGTTTTGGGGGTCAAAGAAGATCAAAAGAGATGATATTTAAAGAGGACTAGTAATTTTTGAACTTATGCAAGAAAATAAAAATTCAGATGTATTTTTTTTTTTATGTTCATATTTTCTAAAGGTTTAAAATTTTCCTATTGTTTAGCTTAACTTACATTGTCTAAGCCTGACTACAGCGCTGATCAGGTAGAGGAGAGATGCCTCCTGAGATCTCACATTTGCTATCCTGTTAACTATCTAACCTAAAGCTGGCCAATAGAATCTGTCTTCCAGCTGCTGGCAAATCACAACTTTATTAAATAACACAGCATATCAAGTGCTTAAATTTGTTGTTTTATACTATAATGAACACTCTGGAGCAGGGAGACAGTGTGAGTTACTAGCATACAACAAGGCAGATGTCAGTCAGCAACTGTCGGACACTTAGGGGGCATCTCATCTTTGATTCGTTGGATTTAAAAAGCATAAAAGGAAAAAAAAAAAATACAAATTAAGTCTGAAAATTCTGTACTATGCCGTCCTTTCTCTCGGAGTAGTGCAAAACATTAACCATCCAGCAGATGGTGTCATTGTGCTATGTGTTTTGCCTTGCAATGGGAAGGTTGTACCTTTTGTACTAGCATGATTCTCCTTGTTTTTTTCTTAATAATTCAAATGTATCTTTTTTACTTAAAGCAGTATTAAACCCAAGACCAAAAGTGTAATATATTGCAGCTTACCAGTCATTAGAGGTGGTGGCTACATTCCTTTTTTTTTAGGCTTTTTTTCCCCCTCTCTTTTAACCAGTTGATCTGGCCAGTAACACACCTGCTGTATTAGAGTGCCCCCTCTCTGGATGAAAGAGCACAGAGGCACCTTTGGACAGCAGCATTGTCAGTCTTGGAGGACGGAGAGTGTTAGATGCAAACTGTTTTTTTCCTTTTGGTATAAAGGTTTTACATAAAAAAAGTTGATCATTGTAATCACCCCTGTCAGTGTAAAATGGCTTGTCTTATCCCTATACAATCTGCAAAAGAACTTGTTCATTTGAAAAACAAGAGACTTACTGGCGGAAACACCAGGTGAAAATAAAGGGACGAAAGCATAAAAAAGAAAACGAATGCAGCCACCACATCTAAGAATTGATAGATTTCAATATAACATATTACAATATATACAGTTTATCGTAGGATACAATACCACTTAAACACCCCCCCCCCCTCTTTTTTCCTTTGCTTTGTCTATGGCCTGATGGGGGGGATTTCAATTAAATTCTTGTCCTGGAAAAACAACAAAAAGAGAAGAAATCTCTCCAAATCGAGAGGAAATCTCCTTTTAGTTGTTGCCACCAATATAGGTGTCCCACAGCCTAATGTATTCCTGTTCTAGTGACAGTTTAAAAAAAAAAAAATAGTTTTTGATGCCAAAGGGAAATGGAAAAAAAATGAAGCTAGATACACATTACCAAAAAAAGAGAGAATTTAACAAAAAAAAATATTTCATATTTGTATAAAGTTCCCACTTCAGTTTCCTTTCCCAGAAAATAATCGAATAATCGATTTCCTAATGTTTCTCTGTAAAAAGACAAACATTTCCAGAAATGGAACTTCTGAAGAAAAGTAGAAATATAGCCATTTCCACCTTTAATAATTGGCCTCTAAGTCCTCTGCTCCATGTCAATTAGTATATAAGGCACAGAGAGGTGAACAAGCTCTTACCATACTCTTCATTACTTTCCCACAGCTTCAGTCTTCTTCCACCCCCGAGGATCACATGGAGATCGTAGACATGGAGAACTCACAGTCCAATCATGCCAAGGTGGAAAAGAAGGACGAGCACGGAGGAAGTCATGGAGGAGGTCATGGGGGAGAACACGGGGAGCATGGAGAAGAGGTACACGTCCCAGGAGTGTGATGGATAGATTGGATATTACACAAAATTTTCCCACATTTCTATACACACAAAAATATAAACCGTAATAGGAAAATCAACCCAAATTCTTGGTTTCAGATGAAGTGGGCAGTAATGTAGCAATAGCCATAGCAGCCTATGCAGCTGCTAAGTGGCCTGGGGTAGAAGAGGGGAACCTGATTAGGCCGGCTGTTAGGAAAACCAAACTATTTCCAGTAGAGAAAGGCTGAAGTCAGAGTCCCTAGTCACAGATCCCCCTGTGCAGTAAGAAGCATTTACTTATCTAGGCAGCATAGATTTACTGCCCCCTGAACTTCTGCTACAGACTGATATTACCGCTGTATGCCTAATGAAGTCACAAATCCCAGAATTTATCCTCTCTTATAGGACAGCTGAGATTTGTAGTTTTGGAAAAATTTTGAAAGAAGTTTGTAGCGGTACAGAGTAATTGTGTGCAAGATATTTATTGTAAAATATATAAAATACTGTACACTGTAGTTATGGTTATTATTGCTATTATTATTTTTTTACTACTATACCTATAATTATTATCCAAACCAGTGATACTTAGTAGTCTGACCGTGCTGGTAGTGCCTCTGCTACCTGATCTTAAGAATACTTTATGACAAAATCAATGACAGTATTGTCACAGTTGACATTGCCAGCTGCTAGGCAAAGGCCTCAGGGGCCCCAATCAAAATTTTCTATTTTGATTAGGGCCCCTAGTTATGCCCTTGGATGTGGTTGAAGGTATACCACTAATCAAGTGTCTGTGTCTCCAATGGGGAGATTTTTCCTCACTTACTGTCCCAGTGCTGGTGGTCACCAGGACAGGAAGTTAGGATGTATCTCTCCATCAGGGACCATTAAAAACAGAAGAGAAGTTCTTAGTCATACCCACTCCATTAACCACTTGCCCTCCAGAGGATTTACTCTCTTTCTGACGAGGCCATTTTTTTGCAATACGGCACTGTGTTATTTTAAGTCACAGTTGCGCAGTCATGTAGCGCTGTACATAAATTAAATTTATGTCATTTCTTTCCCACAAATAGAGCTTTCTTTTGGTGGTATTTGATCACCTCTGCGCTTTTATTTTTTTTTACTATAAACAAAAAAAAAGACCAACAATTTTGAAAAAATAAAAACCCCAATATTTTTGACTTTTTGCTATAAAACATATACAATAAAAAAATTTAAAAAATCTAATTTTGTCATATATTTAGGTCAAAATGTATTCTGCTACATGTCTTTGCTAAAAACAAAATCCCACTACATGCAATTAATTGGTTTACATGAAAGTTATAGCATCTACAAATGGTGGTATATATACTGGAATTTAAATTTTTTTTTATACTAGTAATGGCGGTGATCTTATTGCAGGACTGCGGTGGGCATTCTGACACTGGGGAGGAACTGACTAACTGCCACTGACATCCCCAGTGACACTAATACAGTGATCAGTGCTAATAACATGTGCTGACACTGTACTAATCACACTGGGCAGGTAGGGGTTCACATCTGGGGAGATCAAAGGGTTACCTGTGTGCTGTTTTACTATGTGTTGTGTGTATGTGTTTTACTTTGGAGACATGCTGTTTTGTACCTCTCTGCTGTGACAGGAGAGAGACTTGTGTAGAGAGACTTGTGTCTTTCCTCGACGATCCCTCGGTGCCGGCATGGAATTGCATCCCTAGCCACCAATGGTGGCGTGGGGGTAGGGCGGCGTACAAGCGCGCCTGCTACCTGGAAATGTAAATCATATATATATATATATATATATATATACATACGTGATTTTACGTGGCCCTGCCACCCTGTAGCAGTATTTCTGCTATAGGGTGGCAGGCAAGCGGTTAAACAAAGGTAAATATTTGTATATCTGTAAAGTCTCTTGTTTTTACTGCCCCCCCCCCCCCCAAGCACCCCACTTTAAAGTGTTACTAAACCCACAACAGTAAAATCAGTCTGCATCTGCACTAAAGCATGCTGGTTATACTCACTGTGGAACCAAAGGGGTTAATCCTCTGCATAGTGTAAAAAGGCTGTTTGATCCTGACTCTGATCCTCCCCTTCTTCCACTGTCCCCCTCATAGCTTCTGATAAGACATATCGTGTGGAGTCACTCTGCACATTCTCAGTTTGGTGGGTATTGCTAGAGAGGTTTTTTTTTTTCTTGGGAGAGTGCATGTGATCAGCACAGGGCCAATCAGCACTGTTCAAACAGAGGTCATGGGGTTCTGCATCCTCCTAGAGCAGAATGAAGACTCCTCCTACATGCTTTAACTTGTGCTCAGCTGGACACTGATAGAAGTCACAAGACTGCTCTAGCTGCTGATGAGAAAAGGTATTTAGCCGTTTATATTTACTAAAATAATTGCATTTCCATGTTGTGTGTACTGTGTGAGACCAGATATAGTGCATGTAGGGTCCTGGGTTTAGTAACACTTTAAGCTGCAATAGGCAGTGGACAGGGATGTTTACATGCTTCACTTCGTGCCCGCGGC